GTCTCCCACTTGCTGTTTGGGGTCGAGGCCGGTATAATTTAAGTCCAGCAAGCATTGGCATTCGATATGCATGTCCTGCCAACGAACACATCGTGAGGTGTACATCGGCTTCGACGTGCAGCGTGGCCTGACAGCTTCTGGCTCCAGACCTTTGGAATATCAGATTCTCCAGTGCCTTGCTGCTACTGTAGAAAGCTTTCGAGGTTTGCGATAGTCGGGTTAGCCCGGTTAGCCTAGTGAACGAATGAAAACGTCCTACGTGCAGTCATTCGTACACACGTGAGAGGTACCTCTTCACCGTCCTCTTTACAGTTGAGTTTGCCATTCGTATTGTCGTGAGTCGATGCCGCTATTTCGTCTCGGAAGACTGGACATGGGCATTGTTGGACCTTGTAATTGTGGGAACCTCCTTGTGGGAAGTCCTTGTGGACATCTTGGAAGCTGCTCTGCCACAGGGCAGTGGCCTGAGCACCATCAGCGGCATCTCCAGCATTAAAGCTTTCCGAGTCATACGACTCACACGACTGCTTAAGATGGTGCAATTTCTCCGGATCTTCCGATTCGTGATGGCCCTCCGCACATTGGTCCAGTCCATTATGCATACACTCAAGGCCCTGTTTTGGGCGTTGCTTCTGCTCGTTCTCATCGTGTACGTCTTCGCAGTCTTGCTTCTCGCTGACCCAGAGCCTTCTCAAGCTCTTTTGTTCTCGTTTGCTAGTGAAGTTCAGATCTGTGTTGCTTTCTCATGTCTCTCAGGTTTGCACAGGGGGTGAATGACTATGTGACTTCCATGCCCGATGCCCCTGACGTCGGCTCTGCTTGCAGCGACATCGATGTGGTGCAGTCCGGCATGAAGTATTTTGGAGACTTGCAAGTAAGCATGCTCAGCCTCTTCATGAGCATTGCCGGTGGTGTCAGTTGGGAGGAAGTGATAGCACCTTTACGGATCATCTCGCCAGTGTGGACATTGTGCTACATCTTTTACATTTGCCCCTGGGCTGCATTTGCAGACACTGTCTCTTGCTGTAGTTCGGATGAGTGCCATGCCACATTGTGTGTGTGTGTGTGACTGTGTGGCCCAAGTGGCTTCGGTATTTCGAGAAGACCACCTGGACCTGGCCACCGAGGCTTATGATTAATATGTACATGCATATGCATACCTATACGTCTATATACATACACACACACACATATATATGTATATATATATATATATGGTAACCCCCATGCACTACTGACCCTCGTTTTGCATCGTAAATGCCGTGTTAAGCCTGTTTTTCCGGCAGGTCTGGATTCTGCATCTGTCAAAGACTGCCAAAACCAAACTCACATTTCAAGAGAGACAACTCGTCCAGGTTCGACGTGAGCACGGACTCAACGGCAACACTGTACTCCTCCACTCACAAATATACCGTGAGCACGCACTTAACGGCAACACTGTACTCTTCCAATCAGAAACCAACTTTTCCTAAAACAAAAAACAAAACAAATCTTTTGAGAAACTATGCGGCCAGACTCCAAAAAGATGATTTTTTGGTTTTCCTGAGTCAAAAGTTGGGTTTCGGTGGAAAAACCATTTTTTCCTAGGAAATTTGGTTTTGGGGCTGAAAAACCAATTTTTCCCGAGAAAATGATGGTTTTGCGCAAAAAGACAAATTTTTTGCTAAGGAAAACCAAAACAGACAAACAACAATTTTGTAGAAACTATGCGGCCAGACTCCCAAAAGATGGGGTTTTTGGTTTTGCCTAGGAAAAAGTTGGTGTTCAGTGGCAAAACCATCTTTCTCCAAGGAAAAAGTTGGTTTTGGGTTTTGCTTGGGAAAAAGTTGGTTTTGTGCTGACAAACCAACTTTTCCTAGGAAAAAGATGGTTTTGGATAGGAAAAGCAATTTTTTCCTTGGGATAACATAGAAAAACATCTCTTTGGAGTCTGGCTGCATAGTTTCCCAAAAGATGTTTTTTTTGTTTTCCCTGGGAACAAGTTGGTTTTCCTGCCCAATTTCTCTTAGAAAAAAGTTGGTATTTCACTCCAAGCTCGAGGTTAGGAGTGTGCATTTCATTTGTTTCCGCGCGTTTCGAAGTAATGTTGCCAATAAGATTCCAGTATCATTGCTATTGGGATTCGATTCCGCTCAGCATTAATACTCTACAACATGCTGGGTAATAACCAGGACATTGT